TTTTTGTACTCAGTTTTAAAAACCTGGTGTTTTTAAAACGGAAGAGAGTCAGTGTAAGGCATTAAAGAGGGGTGGAGACTGTGGCAAACAAGAGTGTTTACCTATCAGTTTGCGTTTTCCCACCACCACTACTCAATTACAAACGATTGTTGCCAGGTAATGATAGGGACCCCTGTTGTCAGACTTTCTGGTCTTTTCTTTTCCAAGAGAAGCACAAATCAAGGTTTTGGTGTTTTTAAATCTTTTTTTAAAAGATTTTATTTATTTATTTGACAGAGAGAGAGATCGCAAGTAGGCAGAGAGGCAGGTAGAGAGAGAGAGGGAAGCGGGCTCCCCACTGAGCAGAGAGCCTGATGTGGGACTCCATCCCAGGACCTTGAGACCATGACCTGAGTCGAAGGCAGAGGCTCAACCCGCTGGGCCACCCAGGCGCCCCAACAAATCAAGGTTTTAATGTGAAATTTTCTGAATTTAAAAATATTAGAAATCAATTAATAGTTTTTTTTATTAAAGATTTTTATTTATTTGACAGAGATCACAAGTAGGCAGAGAGGCAGGCAGAGAGAGAGAGGAGGAGGAGGCAGGCTCCCCACTGAGCAGAGAGCCTGATGTGAGCCTCCATCCCAGGGCCCTGGGATCATGACCTGAGCCGAAGGCAGAGGCTTTAACCACTGAGCCACCCAGGCGCCTCCAATTAATAGTTTAAAACTCATGAAAGGTAGCCCCCAAATCCTGACTGTGCCCTGGATGCTGACCGGAGACCACTAGGTTACAAACTCCAGTTGGGTCTAAACCTTCCCTGCCATGTTTCCTCACTTTGCCCCTCTAGACCCAGTCTCGACTCTTCTCCTGCCCTGAGCCCTGGGGTTAGACCTGGCTGGGCAGCCTCAAAGGACTCTCCTGCATTCTGGCTTCTGTGGGTGCAATGTTTAGTTTTCTGTGTCAACGTGGCTGGGTTGCAACCTCCAGCTGTTTGGTCAAACATTATTCTGGAAGTTTCTGTGAGGGTGTTTTTGAATGAGAGTTTCATTTAAATTAATGGAGTTTGAGTGAGTCAGATTGTTGCCTCATTATGTGGTGGGCCTCATCCAATCAGTTGAGGGTGCAGATAGAACAAAAGATTGACTTCCCCTGAGCAAGAGGGAATACTGCCAGCAGATTGCCTTTGGACTCTTGCCTGGGTATACATATGTATATATTCCATCCTGCTTGTTCTGTTTCTCTGGAGAACCCTTACTGATAAGTTTGGGTTTGGTCATGGAGTGTGCCAGCAGGAGAGCTGAGGGAGGGTGTAGAGAAAGACACAGGGCAATTTCCCTCTTTCGAGTCATCAAGGGCTGTCTGTGCCCCAGGAGTAAAGGTGCCAGCCCCATGTGGGCTTTTGTCCCTCAAAGCCTCGGCTGGGAGGTTCTCCTCCCTCCCACCACCGAGGACTCGCATGGTTTCCCGCATGGTTTCCCTCATGGTTTCCCTTGCCCTCTGCCTGCACCTTGGACCTAGACCATTACTAAGAGGTCCTCAGATTGACTAGTCTGTGTGCTTACTATTGCCTTCTGAGACCCTGACTGTGCACTCTTATCTCTCCAAAGTCCAAAACCTAAAGGACCTGCTAAGATCTGTTATGGGTAGAGCCAGGAGTCCAAAGTGGTTCATAGAACTCCTCTTTCAGTGGCTTTTATTCACCTTGTTTTTCATCTATCATCAGTGCTTCCGTCCTGCTGCCCACTTGACTCTGTAATTTCCTGATCTATGTGCCAGAATACATACCTGTGTATCCAAACCTTCCACGAGCCTGTTGTTCGTCACTTCTGCGGGTTGCTGTTTCCCACAGTGTGCTGCCCCATGTTTCACTTCAACACCATCACCCTCCCCCCCGCCATGAAGGTCACCTAGGTGGCCTCCAGCTCCTAGGTACTGCCAACAGCAGTGGCCCGAATATCCTCCTACATCACCTCCGTTGGGACCATGGGACAATTTTGCTGGGATATGAACCCAGAAGTAGGAAAAGTGGGCCACAGGGAATGCAGGTAGCAAGTTCCCCGAATTACTGCCGTGTCGCTTGCCAGGCTGATGGTAGGAGGTTATAGTCTCCTCCCGTTCCACCATCACTTCTTGTCCACTTGCTTAGTTTCCGTTGGTCGGATTGACGTGTTGTGGCATCTTGGTGGAACTCGCATTTGTCTGATTACAGGTAGGTTCAAGCATCTTTTTACTGAGCTCTGGCCATCTCAACACCCTGCTTCAAAATGGCACAGCCATATCTCACCCTCACCCTGCTCGCAGGTGTCACAGTAGGAGTCTTCCAAAGACAGTGGCCAAGCCTCTTTTCCTCTCCGTATGCGGATGCTACTCTCCTCACGAAGGAGTGGAACCTAGTTCCCTCCCCTTGGACCAGGCCAACTTTTGACTTGCTTTGATCAATAGAGTGTGACAGGGTTGAATTCTTAAACTCCCAAGCCCAGACCTTCAGGAATCATGTAGCTTCTGTTTTTTGCCTTCTGAGAAGCCCACTGTCGGGCTCAGAGGTCTGGGCTGACAGGCTCCATGGTCTGGTCTGGAGGCTCCATGGTCATCGTGACATTTAAGCTCCAGCGAAACTCCCGGCTGAGTGGCCCTGGCCACACCACGTACAGCAGAGAAAAAAAACATCCCTGCAGAGCTCTGTCTAAATGCAGAAACATGGTGCGCTGGGATGGCCCAGTGGGTAAGGTGTCTGACTCTCGATTTCAGTTCAGGTCATGATCTCAGGGTCGTGAGATCGAGCCCCGTTGGGCTCTGCGCTGGGCGTGGAGCCTGCTAAAGAGCCTCTCTCCCCCCTCTCCCTCTCCCTCTGTATCCCCTCCCCTACTCAAAGTCTCTCTCTCAAAAAAAATTTTAAAATGCAGAAACATAGGCCAATAAGTTGCTGTGTTCTGTATAGCCACAGGAACTCAAACAGGTGTTTTGCTTTGTGTTTGTTCTTTCTGACTTCTGGGTGTTCCTCTTGTATTCCAGACCAGAGTCTCATGTATATTTCCAATGAAATACCACCCCTGCCACCCACCTTCCTCCCAAGCCACCATGAGCCCATGACTGACTCCTTCTGGTCTCAGTCTAATGCCACCTCCTCAGAGAAGTCCTCCCTGACCACCCTGGTTGAAGTGGCTTCTGAGTCAGTTTGTCACATTGTCTAGTTTCATCTTTTTCTTAGCCCATATCATGACCCAGAGTCATCTTATTTACCTGTCCACTGCCTGTTTCCTCAGCTAGCACGTAAGTTCCATGTGGACGGGGACAGTGAATGAGCACATAGTCAGGTTTTAAATAAATATTGTTGAATGAATAAGGAGTGAGCGAAGAAATGAATAGGACAGACTCCGGATCAGAGGGCAAGATTGCTCTCTTATAAATTCTGGTATAGACTCATTTATTGAATATTTACTGACCACCTGGTATGGGCCAGAAACCATTCTAGGTACCAGAGTTACGGCACTCAACAAAATAAAGTTTGTATTCTGACAAGCTGGTATTCTAGAGGGAGAGAAAGTTAATAAAGAATAGAATACATAATCTAGGGACCTGGCCAAACACTCAGAAGAAAAATAGAGCAGAGTAAGGAGATGGAGAGTAGTGAGGGCAAGATTTTACACCAGATGGTCAGGGAAGAGCCTCTGGGGAGGTGACATTTAGGGAGGTGACATTTGAGCACAGACCTGAATAAAGTGAGGAAACGAGCACATAATTGGAAGCGAAGTGTTCTTGGTAGAGGAAACAGCATGTGCAAAGGCCCTGAGGCAAGGTGGTTTAAGCACATGGCTGGAGTGGAGAGGGGAGAGCAGTAAAGAAGTAAAGTCAGGGAGGCCAATTCCATGGAACCCCCAATTCAGGAATTTGGGGCCCTAAAGCTCTCTTATGCCCAGAAAGCAAATAATCTATAGGCCCAGTGTTGATTAACACTCTTTATTTTATTACATTTTCAATCAGAAGTATTTGAAATCATGATTCATCTGGTTACAAGTCCCATGGGTTTCTCTGTGAATGGACTTCTCCCGTCCCCTGTTCTCCAAGAGAGCATCTCCCAAGCCCTCTGGGCTGCAACTGTGACTTGATTACTAAAGTACTCACGTGGAAAGAGGTAGAGCCCATCCTCCAATGTGGGGGCCTCTCCTCTCTCGTCTCCGCTGCTCCCAGGGAAACATCCATGACTCACTCGTGCCGTACTGAGTCTCTGGCTGCTGCTTGGGGATCATGGTCCCTCAGATGTGTAGGAAGGGAGACACGAGGCTTCCAGAAGCCCCATGGGCACCTGTCTGGTGCCAGGCTAGCGCTGGGCCAATCCCTTCACTTCTTGAGTGCCCGCTGAGCCTGATACTGTGCCCTTCACTGGGGATACCCACGTGCTTCTGCTGGAAACGAGGAGGGATCAAATCATCTAGGAAACCCCCCACCAGCCACTGGCTCAGGAGAATCTCGGTTGACCTCTGCAGAAGAGGGTAGGATATTTTGCCTGCCTGAGAAATTTTACCCTGGCCTTTGATGAGGCCCCAGTGTATCTTCTTTTTTTTTTCTTCATTCCTGAAAAACGTGGCCTTTGCTAATTAAACACATTTACCCCTCTGGGGATGGATAAGAAAGGAAAGACCAGCTGCTGGAATCAGGAGTAGCGGGCAGCGACAAAGGCCCCCGTGGGCCACACGTAGGAGAGTCCTCTCTGGAAGGACAGTAGGGCTTGGCCTGACCCCAGAATTACGGTGAAACTGATTCAGATTAGACAGAAAAATCCTAAAAAGCTTGGGTAGAGATGTCAGCTGGGGGTTTCTAGAATGCCCCTGGTGTGCCAGGGCCCCCAGAAGTGCAGCAAGGGGGGTTGGCACAGCCTCCCTGTCCTCAAGAGGCCATCTGTCCCTCCCCTGTCTCCAGGGACTGAAAGGTGTACTGGCAGGGCTCACATTCAAACAACGGGCACAGAATGGGCACCGACTGAGCAGGACACACCACGGCTGTGAACACCTGGAACACTGCGGCCCCAAAAGCCTTCCTCTCTGAGGAAGATGACCTTTAAAGGCAAGATGACCTCTCCAGAGGGTAACCTAAGGTAGGCCGTGGGGGATGTTAGTGGTGCCCATAGGAATCAATGCCCCCCCATTCCAACAGTTTAAGACAAATGCCATATTCCAGATTTGCTTCCTGTTGCTAGGATAGGGCTCTCTTGCATTCTAGCCATATAACAGCTCAGAGATAAAGGCGCTTATTTCTCTGGCAGCGGATCTGGGAGATGTCTGGGCCCTGACCTCCATGAAAGAGAAGGAGACCGTGTCCTAGAAAATGAGCCTTTGGGCCCAAGTGGACCACTGGAGGTCACCCTTGCTTGCTGCATACTGAATCACAGAAAAGAACTGCTCAAGATCGTCCTTGTAGAGTCCTAGCAGCAGGTGATGGCAGAAGCCTTCTGAGAGGGCCCAGCTCGAACAGAGTCCTGGAGGGGAAATCAAAGGGTCCGAAACGTGTTGTTGGCCAAGGCGGATGGCAGTGCCGTGATGTTGGCTGAGTGGATGTCGGCCCAGTCTGGGAAGACACCCAGCTGGAAGATGGTCTGTGCCCAAGTATTCATGGCCATGCTGAGCAGCAGGACACCCATGAGGTTCATCAGGAGGCCTGTCCGTACCTGAAACAGAGCCCAGATGAAGAGAGGGATCAGCTCAGAGCCCATTGTACAGGTGGGAAAACCCACGCTCAGAGTCAGGAACGCATTCACTCAAGATCTCCCAGCCGGGAAGTGATGGTGCCAGGACAGGGATCCAGGCTGCTGGGTGCCCAAGACCCTCCCACCCTGACGCTACCCTAGCCAGCCCCTCAGGTGCCATCCCTATGACACCCTCGAAGGGTGATTATTATTACTTCCGCTTTACAGAAGAGGAACATGGGGCTCAGAGAAGTTGGCTTATCCACATCACACAGCTTGAAAATAATCTGGTTTGATCAATAACACACATACACACTCACACACAACACACACACACACACACACACACACACACACTCATACATGCTCACACCTATCCACCTTCCATGTCTACTGAAGGCTATACTTCTTTGTTGGGAAGAATTTGTCTCAAGGACATTTTGACCTTTTTAAGTAGCTAGAACAAGTCTGCCCACTTGCTTTTTCCCCTGAGCTAACCTCTTGTGCCATTCATTCCAACCCGGGGCTGAAAATCTCTGTTTCTCATCCAGGATTTCCGGTCGTTCGACCTTAGCATTACTCAGCTGTGAACTGTGCGGTGAGGGAGTCATTCACTCTCTTTTCAGTCTCCCTCTTTAAAATCTATTCCTCCCAGAGAAAGGCTCCCTTAGGTGCTATCGTGCCCTTAATGCTTCTCTCTTCCTTGCCAATTGCCCTCTTGAGCAAGCAGGGCTTCAGAACTTTCTCTAGGCAAATCGTTTTCAGGGTGAATGTAATTATTTTGCTTTTTTGTCTTTGCCTTTATTTTTAGACTTACCTTTATGGCATACAGTACCAGTTTTCCATATCCAGATGTGTCAGAAACTCTTCTCTTAAAATAGTCTTACTTAAAGTGTTTTTAAAAATGTAAGTTGAGGGGCAACTGGGTGGCTCAGTCGGTTAAGTGTCTGCCTTTGGCTCGGGTCATGATTCCAGAGTCCTGAGACCAAGCCCCACATCCGGCTCCCTGCTCAGCAAGGAGCCTGCTTCTCCCTCTCCCTCTGCCTGCTGCTCCCCCTACTTGTGCTCTCTGTCAAATAAATAAATAAAAATCTTAAAAAAAAAAAACAAGTTGATTTAGGAGAACCGTTATATCCATATTGCACAGATGGCTCACAGAAAGGGCATCAGTGGTGAAGGGAGTACACCCAGTGACAAGGTCCAATGGCGTTATGTTGTCCTGCCTCTGCTCTCGGAAGGTCTTCAAGCCCTGGCAACATTGGAGAATTGGAAGGGGACTGGCCAAATCTTGGGGTGGCTGGGAGGAGGGCTGGGCTCCTGGGAGCCTGGCTCCAAGTGCCTGCTCTGTCCCACATTCATCACGGTGGACAACCTAGGCCATCCCTCTCAGGAGCAGAGCCTGCAGGTGGGCACGCGGCTCCAGACAGGTGGGCGGCTCTGACAGGTGTGCCCCTTTGTGCCCCCTTGTGCCCCTCGGATGTCTCTCCATTTCTCTCATGGTCTCCTCATTCTCAGGATGGCTGTTAGGTCTGGTCTCTGCCCTCTGGCCCCTTTCCCTAAGCCTCTCTGTTTCACACTCAGCCCCCCTCCACCCTGCCGCCAGAGTGACCTCAGAAAGGCAGGAGTCAAACCTCGTCCCCGCAAAGTCGGGAAGCAGAAGTGACAACATTCTAGAAAGGCTCCCTCATGGCTGTTTTCCTGCCGGTCCCATTTACTCATGTTCCATACTTGGCCTCTGAAATAGTTGAAGAAGCTCTGTTCCCACTTCAAGGGGGAAGCAAGAAAGTGAATCATTCTCTGAGTTCTGTCCTAGCCCCCAAACACCTGATAACATCCAAGAAGAGCCAGATCCCAGACACATGCCAGGACATCAGCTCCCAGCAAAGCCCCCGCTGATGCTGGCCTCCGGGCCGCACCTCCAGTGATTTGTGGAAGAGCATCTAGAGTCCCCGACTCTCCCTCTGATGGGACCCAACGGAGGATTCCTAAAGGCACAAAGATGTTCCAATGTAAACTCCAACCCCAAGCAACGTTGAGACTCGTTCTCTTGTCTCTGAGTCTCTCTGTCACTCGGTCTGTGATTCTGTCTACCACTCGTGCTATTCAATAAACTCTGTTTTCACTTTCTCTGGCTCACGTTTGATTTCTGTCCTGCATGAAGCCAGGGGTCCCTTGGCTGGTCCTGTGGGAAGTTCCCCTGGGCTCCCGGACCCAACTACCTGCATCAATGACCCCGCTCAAATCCCTCCAGAGTCCTCCACTGTGGGCTGCGTAAGGTTCGGTCTGTGCCCTGCCCCTCGGCACCCCTCCCCCAGTCCTCTGGCCTCATCCTCCCAACTGAGCTCCAGGCACCCCAGCCTCCTCCTGCTCTCTTGTTTGCTCTGTGACCTCTTTCTGCCTCTCACTCTTGCCTAGCCCCTCTCCTCCCTTCCCCTCCCGGTTTATCCTGCCAGAGTCTCTGCGTCTGGAGAGACTGGACCCGGAATTGGTTTAAGCATATCACCCTCCTCCCTTGTACCAGTTTAGGATTTGCATTCCCTGAGTGTTCCCAGGCTGCCAGTGGAGGGGAAGTGGCAGCGGGAGGCGGGAGGCGGGAGGGAGGGAAGGAGGAGAGGGGTCAGCAGGGTAGCGAGGGGAGAGGAAACACACTGGTGGATCTCCCTACCACCCCCGCCAAGCCACCACCCTGGCTTCGGCCTTGCCCCCCGGGGGTGCAGCCTGCTTCCCCTCTCTCCTACAGATTCCAGGCACGGAGCAGTTGGCTGAACAAGTAAGAAAAGAGAGCAGTGCCCCGAGAGAGAAGGAAGTCCCTTGTCCCCGAAGCAGACTCTGGAAAGTCATCATTCAGACAGTGTTTCCTGAAATTGTCTAAGCCTAAGAATCGACCCAGAGTGTTTGCTGAAATGAACCTAGATATTCCTGGTCCCACTCCAGATGACTTATTCAGAGACTGGAGGGGCAGGTGGAGGAGCGGGAGCCCGGGTCCCCGCCACGGCGTCTCGCCCAGCCCCTGCCGGCCACCCCCATCTCAGGCCTCTGCTAGGATGAGCCCCGACTCACCATGTCTTTGACCAGCAGGTGTCCGGAGGCAAAGGCAATGGAGTTGGGGGGCGTCGAGACCGGGAGCATGAAGGCGTAGGAGCAGCCGACCGTGCCGGGGATCATCAAATACAGGGGGTGCACTCTCAGACGGATGGACTGGTACGGGTGCGGTGGGGGAGGGGACGACCACGACAGGGCAGCGGAGAGGCGCCACCACAACAGATGGAGATGGTCGAAAGCCACAGACACAGAGACGGAAAGAGACGTTATGACAACGTTATGGCAGCAGAGACCAATCACAGCGGACAGACATGCAGCCACACAAACAGACATGCAGCCAGAAACGCAGATCCACGGACAAGAGCAGAGACAGACAAGAAGAGAACCCAAACCAAGGGACACATGGAAAAGATATTCCCCCAGGTTAGTGACATTCTGGGGGCTGCAAGCTTGGGCGGGGGAGATTTTTCTAGAACCTTCTCCACACTGAGAGCACATCGTCAGACCGGGAGGACTTGCTAAGACCCAACTTGCTGGCCCCACTTCCCCCAGAGTTTCTGATTCAGCAGGTCTGGGGCGGCCCAAGGAGCCTGCATTCCTCACAAGTTTCTAGATGAGGTTGGTGCCAAGAACCACAGCTCTAACACACCCGGTCCCCTGCCTGGTCCTTCCCTCAGCCGAGCAGTCCCCACAGCCAGTCCCTAGCCACATTTAGTGGGGGCCTCACCAGTTTTTGGAGGCACAGAGAGGTCGAGATAGCATCGACTGATAAGCATTTCCCAACTTCTAAGACTCAAATGCGTCTGTGTGTTGGCCTCATTCCGTAGCTGGCTCGTCACCTTGCCCAAACGACATATTCATCTACAATGCCTGTTGGTCTCCTCTCTACTATCGTATTTAAGATAGGGCATTTTTTGGCCCCTCGAGGGAATTTTGATAACCCAAAGCATATACATTTTTCTCAAAAAGGGCTAAATTCACCCCCTGACATGCAAAACGTTTTTGGTTTGGGTGATAAGGACCGTTTAGGACACTGTGTCATTCACTAGTGTCTTCTCCAGCAAAATTTGCCCCAACAGACCTGGCTGGGTCCACCCTTCTCCTCCCCGTCACCCCACAGCACCCCCATCTCTCTCAATCATCGGATCCCTCAGATCCGGGGGAGTCTACGGGTGGGGGTGTGAAATGGAGAGCTCACTCTGGAGGACAATTTGCCCACATCTAACAGAATTAGAGAAGCACATGCTTTTCAATCCAGGGGTCATGTCTATGCATGGATCTAGATGGAATCAAAGGTTCCCAGACAAGGAAAGGTCAAGGGTGCCATTGTGGGATCACAGCAAAGGCTGGAAGCGACCTATGTGTCCCTCTGTAGAGATCTTCGATAGACCCACCGCTATCCACTCGCACCAGAATATCCTCCAGTCACTGAAAAAGGGTGAAGTACATCTCTGTGTGTAACACAGTGTGAGCACCATTACAAATTCATGCAAAAATAAGCCAACTAAAACCCAAAACAAGGCAGCTCAGAGACGTGTGTCTGGTCTATCACCGACAACACACGAAGCGTGTAGTCGCCACACTGATTTAATAAGATCAGTTCTGGAGTCTATTAAGAGAATCATATGGCTTGGTCTTCTTTAATCTATTTAAATAGAAAACTCTGCTGATTGCTTGTAGCGTTCACCGGTTTTGAAATTCCGAACACAAACTCGATTTGATCACGACACATCGTTCTAGTCCCATGGTCCTGGATTTATTTTGCTATTTGCATCTTTGTTTATGTGGGAGATGGGGTTGTGACTTCCCCCACTGCCTTGGCTGTCCTTCTTTGGTTTTGGTGTCTGGGTTTTGTTCACCTTATCCCTGGATTGAACGACTTTCTCCATTATTCTGTGCTCTGAAGTACTGTGAGTAAGGTGGGAGCTAGTTGTCTTTGCAGGCTTGCTAGTTCTCTCCTAGCTGACCCTCCGAGGACTGGCTGGTGATTTTTAGGGCAGCGGTTCTCAACGGGGGACGGTTTTGTTTCCCCTACCAGGGGACATTTGCCAATGTCTGGAGACATTTTTGATTGTCACTATTTAGGTCAGTGCTACTGCTACCTCATGGATAGAGGCAAGCATGCTGCTGAGCGGTTCACCACCTACAGGACAGCCCCCCCACACAACAGACCATTCTTTGGCCCCAAATGCCAACAGTGCTGAGAAACCCTTCTTTTGAGGGAGCTTAGAACTTCGCCTACCGTTAGAATTTCTTCTGTGGTTATTTGTCTGCTCAGATTTCCTACTTCATCTTAACCCACATTTGAAAATTTATATTTTCCTAGAAAAGTCTCTAAGGAAGAAAAGTTGGTACGCTTCTTAAGTATTTACTCTGTGCCTTTCTTAAAGAAGAAAAAAGAATCAGGGTCTGACACCTGCATGCATTTTGGAAGAGAACAAAGGCCTCTGTAGCTGGGATGGAGCTCCTCGTGGCAGGGGACAGATTTCTGAAGTTACCCCCAACACACACACTCCTGCCCCAAGACTCTCACCAGCTCTGCCAGCACTGGCAGGAAGATGATGATCGTGGCCGTGTTGCTGGCAAACTCGGTGAAGAAGGCGATGACGACGGTGATGAGCAGCACGGCCAGGGCGGGGGGCACGTTCTCCAGTGGGTGCAGCTGCCCACCGATCCACGCAGATAGCCCTGACTCCTGCGGGGCATGTGGAACATCTGTTCACACCCTTGCGCAGCCACAGCCACCATCCCCGAGGGCTGGGTCTGGGAGGGAGGTTAGGATGGACCCCCGTGGTGACAACAGTGACTACCATGGACACTGAGACTCAGAGAGGGTCAGCAACAGGTCCAAGTCTACACCTTCCAGCCGATGGACATCAGTCTCTCTGCTTCTGGAGCTGCTCTCTACTCCAACTCTAGGACCTAACTCCTGGATCCCCAAATAATCCATTTGTCTCTAGCCCCCTGCTAAGCTCCAACTGAAGTGAGAGGGGAAAACGGGACCCTCCGTGGATGGTGATGAATGACAAAAATATTAACACGATCATGTATGCAAAACATTCATTAGTAGTCTGATCATTATGTAATGATATATGCAAGATATCCCATCTACCATCTATCTATAAAACCTGTATCAGATATATGTTAAATGCAGCCCTAACAAAATGATTACCCAATAGAGATATTTGTGAGTAATAAGGCCAATCATTACGATGATAACATAATATTGTATTATTACTCATTTTAGCATAAGAATCATCATCCCTGAGGCTTTACAGTTTGCTTGGTACCTGCACGCCATTTCCTCGTAAACCCCTCCCAGCCTTCCTGGAAGGTAGACATTTGTCTCTGTGTCACAGATGAGGAAACTGAGCCTGGTGAGTTTTTGTGACTTGCCTACGGTCCCCAAAAGTCATAATCTGAGATGTCTTTCACATTCAAGGGCATGTACTTCTCTCTCTCTCTTTCTCTCTCTCTCTTTTTTTTAAGATTGTATGTATTTATTTGAGAAAGAGAAAGAGCGACCAAGAAAGAGAGAACGCAAGCATGGGTGGGGGGCAGGGGGAGGTGGAGAGGCAGAAGGAGAAGCAGACTCTCCGCTGAGTGTGGAGCCCAGCATGGGGCTCGATCCCAGGACCCCGGGATCATGACCTGAGCTGAAGGCAGATGCTTAACCGACTGAGCCACCCGGGCTCCCCAGGGCTATGTAATTCTGTAAGCAAACATGGTCCTGCAAAGTTCCCTATCACTTGGGCACCATCCTCTGGACACAGCAGTCTGTCATGAAGAATGGTGATGGCCAGAGCCGATAACACCCTCCAGGACAGAGAAAGGACAGGTTAGATCGTCCCCTCCCTGGCTCCGGACTCCACCTCTGCCCTCAGTGTTGCAGAATTACCATCGTTGCCCTCTCCACTGACTTCTGCAGGAGTTACTCTACGTAGGAGTATTTAAATCAAGTGTGTGCTTACCATAGCCGTTTTAGCAACCCAGTATCCTTTGATATCATACACTTGGGTTTTTCAAAGAAACTGTATACATTTCTTTTATATTTGATGGAAAATTTACTGCTTATCTAGAACTTAAAATTTCATAATGGATTCTAGAACACAGCATACTGTTTTTATGTTTTTACATAAATAAAATACTACACTTGGGGGCACCTGGGTGGCTCAGTGGGTTAAAGCCTCTGCCTTCGCCTCAGGTCACAATCCCAGGGTCCTGGGATCGAGACCTGCATCGGCCTCGCTGCTTGGCAGGAAGGCCGCCTCCCTCCCCCCTCTACCCCCTGCTTATGTTCCCTCTCTCACTGTGTCTCTCTCTGTCAAATAAATAAATAAAATCTTAAAAAAAATACTACACTTGTGCCCAGAATTGACTTAAAAGTTATCTCCAAGGAATGAATAATAAATGCTTAAAGATATTTTTCCCTAGAAGATTCTTTGTAAAATTTAGATGCTGCTTTTTGTCTGATAGCCTAGAAATGATAGCACATGGCAGAGTCAATGCCCCAGACCTTCCCTGACCAGGGAACCCTTCAAGGGGAAAACGGGGCCACTGGTTTTTCCCAGAGGCCACAGGTCTGGCTAAGAGACTGATGGCAGTTGTGTGTGATTTAAGGGAGAGAGGCTGGAGAGAAGGAATATTAATGACTCGGATGAATGAGAAGCCAACTCTGGGTGGCGGGCTTCCAACCAACGTCCCAGCACACTCGGGTCCTTGGCTCAGCTTCTGCAACCACAGGGAGGTCTGGCAGCTTCAGGGGAGAGAACCCCTGGATGCCTGGGGTTCTCTTGGGGACTCCCAAGGGCTTCCCCTGCCCTTTCCCATTCCCTTAGGTATTAGAAACCCCATTTCCTTGGAAACACATGGTCCCACATTGTTCCAGGGACTCTAGAACCAGCAACAGGCAAGGTGAGATGCCATGTGGCCAGAGGATGAAGAGAAAGGGCCCCAAAGTCAGCTTAGGATTATTCCTCATGTTAATCCTTCCTAGCTGTGTCATTCTGGACAAGTAACTTAACCTCTCTGCGCCTCAGTTTCCTCATCTGTAAATGCAAATATAACAGTGCCTATCTCAGAAGGTTATTATTGGGAGAAAAGGAGCAAATCTACAAAAGCAGTTGGAAAATGACCCAGTACATGGTGAACCCCCAACATGTGCCAGCCATCATTACAAGTCAAGATGCCAGAGTTGGAAAAACACTCAGAAATTGCCCAGTGTGTTGGTTGTCAAACTGTGTTTCTTATGGCCCTCAAAGATGTCAAGAAATGCCTGAGGCCCCACTGCAGGATGGGAGGGGAGAGGCTTGACAACTTTAAGAGCCTCATCAAACACAGTAGGCTCGGCTGTGTGTATACAACTCTGTATAATAATTCCTAGGGAGAGAGCCAGTGAATTTGGTTCAAGGAAAGAAAAACGAGAGGACTTCATGTGCATGTGTCAACATTCAGACCACCGTACTGCTTATAAGCTGTGTGACTTTGGACAAATTGAGGAACATCTCTGTTCCTTGGTTTCTACGGGGAGTTGTGGTCAGGATGAAACAAATGCATGCAAAACATAGTAAGCACGGAATAGGATTCACTATTCTTATCTGACAAGCACTTCATACAGAGTTTACTCTGCACTGGGCACTATTCTAAAGACTTGGCTAATATAACTTATTTTATCCCTGTAACAACTCCATGAGGTGAGTTGTAAAATTATCTCCCATTTTATGGCTGAAGAAACTGAGGCAAAAAGAGGTGGTGGCTGGCCTGAATAAATGAAATGACTTGTCCTAGGGTTAGAATTTTGAGCTTATAATCTAGCTCTTACTTCATTAGGCTACCTTTCCAATAAAATGATAATGGCAATCATCATCACCATCATCACCACCATAATCACGATCACCATCACCACCATCATCACCATCACCACCATCACCACCATCACCATCACCACCATCATCACCATCACCACCATCACCACCATCATCACCTTCATCATCACCATCATCACCACCATAATCACCATCACCATCACCACCATCATCACCATCACCACCATCACCACCATCACCACCATCATCACCTTCA